ACAATAATAAAAGAAATGATGACGATAAGTATTTCTAGTAGTAGTAATAGTAGTAGTAGTAGTAGTCGTAAAATATACAAGAATAGACCACAACCAAGGCATTATAGCTCCACAAAGTATCTAGAAAGTGACCCAAAGACCATACTAGATGTTATTCATGGCTTTCATATTCCTGTTCTATGCAACATCTTGAGTACTTTAAAGTTGTAATACTGATCTGTTTTAAATTGTTTATCGCTATGGCAACAGTCTTAATGTCATTTATTCATTCTGAAACACATGAATATAATATTAAACCAGTCCTATTTGGCAATCGTACATGCTAAAATGAAAAAAATGGTCCTCAGTAAAATAAAATATATAAATATATAATTAATAAAATAAAAGATTGTTGAATTTACCAGTATGGCTCTGTACCTGGGCTCATCAAAGTGACCAACTCACCCACATGCACCATCTGAACTTTCTAGTGACAGCTTACAATGGGGAACCTGAGTCACTTTGAAACCAATGAATTACAGCAGTTGAGTGTCGATTTGAATCTGAAAAAGCAGAAAGTCTCTTACCTTATCGGAGGATGTGGAGCCAGTGCGGAGCTGGGAGGCAGAGTGAGCAGTATGCAGTGGTCTCTCTCTCCTCTCTCCCTGCTGTGAGATGAGCTCTGTGGGCAGATTGGATCTTTGGCATCCACAACCTGGACGAGGAGGGGCATCTGCTTCTCTTTAGCAAATATGACAGAATACAGTGTTAGAAAGAGGCGTGGAGATTCAGAGTAGAGCTGAGAATCGTTAGTTCCATCACGATTTGATGCAATACTCAATACTCAATACTCACGATACGATATTACTACAATATGGCAATACATGGGACAATCAATATATATTACACATGATATCCTGTGATAGACTGCTATTTTTAAGAACTTGATACATTTTAAAGGGCCTATATTACACACAGTTGACTCTTGTGAGCTTGAAGTCATGTTAGAATGTTGTTACCTCATCAAAAACCTACCTGGAGTTGTGTTTTGTTTCATTCACATGTTTGAGTAAGCCTTTGTCGACATCTCTAAAGCTCAAAATGCTCTGTTACACTTCGTGATGTCATGTAGTAGCACCTTTAACCCTTTGTTCACTAGAGACTAACATTTCCACTGCTGAAATGATCAGATATGTCAAAACTCAGGCCCAGCGGCCAAATTTTGCCCGCAATATATTAAAATTTAGCCCTCGAGATCATGTCAAATATTTATTAGAGCTGGCCTGCTGGCTACAGATAGGCTATAGAGACATTATTTATTTAAAATTGTATTATTTTTAGGGGTGTCAATTTATCGCGTTAATTGTGATTAATTAATTACAGTCATGTTTAGTGTATGTTTTTTAATCGCGTTAATCTCATTTTTAATCTCTAACTTTACTGTTTCTGTATGCGAGTTGCTTTATTATAAAATCTGTTTTTAATAATGGTAGGAATAATAGTGATAATAATAACAGTAATAATAATTAATAAAAAGAAATGCCTTTAGGGTTATGTTTTTTGAGATTGTGACATATGGTGAAAGATGATGAGGGGAACTGATGATGGTAAAAATAAATATTAGTTTGAGTATAGGGACTAATACATTCAAAAAATTATAATTAAAAAAAAAAAAAAAAAAAAAAAGGGAAGGAAGAGAGACAAAAGGAACTTCAATTATAAATTGGCCGCAGTGTATCAATGTTCGGGAGCCTAGCGGTGTATTTATGTTGCACTATCACATTTATATTGTTTTGACTTTGTGTTGGTGTGGGTGGTTGGGGGGAAATGTTTTGTTTTTTTTTTATTTGTTGTGGTGTTGTGGTTGTTGCTTTATGTTTTTGTTTTTTATGTTGAATATTGCAATTGTTAAACGTTGATGTTTGTTTAGTTTTTTTGAATGTTATGTTCTGCTGTCTTTAATTAAAAAAAATAATAATGAAAAAAAAAAAAATCTGTTTTTATGTGTTGTTGGGACAACAACACACACACACAAAAAAAACACATTTATACATTTTTTTATTTCGGTAATTCCACTCATTGCCGGAAACCCACACAAAACGCGCGCAGTAAGAGCGATGTAAACGTCATGTTAACGTTGGCGGCGTCAGTCGCAGAATGGAGGAGGTCGAAGAGCCAATAGAACAGAGGCAGCAGTGCACAGGGAAAAACGCATTCGTGTCTTGGAAATTATTCTCCCGACGTGAAATATAAAAGAAAATAACTAATATAATATCGCCTACAACTTAAATGTCACTGGTGAAAACAACCTGCATAGGCTCATGATGTCTGCACTACTGTCCTATAGTGACCTGCCACATGAGGGGACACGCACACACAAACACACACAAACACACACAAACACACAACACACACAAACACAACACAAACAAACACAAAACACAAACACACACCTTCATCATCGTCATCAACCTGAGAACGCGCGGACCACGTTTCCTTTCGTAGTTACTGCGCGCGGACACCGACGTGCTCCCGTGAGCCGCGGGTGGATCGTGTTTTCTCGCGTACGCTGCGTAAACCGCGCTTCCTCCTGTGCGCCTCTAAACCAGAACTAACACCAAGACTAAAACCAGGACTAATCCAGTCCAGGACTAAACCAGGTCTAAACCAGGTCTAAACCAGGACTAAACCAGAACTAAAACCAGGTCTAAACCAGGTCTAAACCAGGACTAAACCAGAACTAAAACCAGAACTAAAACCATAAACTAAAACCAGAACTAAAAACCAGTCTAAAACCAGGTCTAAACCAGGACTAAACCAGAACTAACACCAGGACTAAAACCAGGATTAATCCATTCCAGGACTAAACTAGGACTAAAAATAGGACTAAAGCAGGTCTAAACCAGGACTAAAACAAGGACTAAAACCAGTGATCTCATATATAAAGCATTTCTCTATCAATAATATTTTTTAATATGGTTAAGGAAAGACTGGACTGGTTTTATTGTCTTTAAGTAGACAAAAGTTATTATGTTCAGATTTCCTCGTCTTTGCTACTTTACAGCAAACAGTTTCTTATTCATGGAGACTTGGGCTCAACAACCAATTTGGAGAGATTTGTTAAACAATAAATGATTAAACAATAAAGTCACATTTTTTTTGTTCTATTTCAGTATTTTGATCTGCCACAATAATATAATAATGAATTTAAATGAAAATACCTCAAATTGAAGCTTTTCTCAGCAATTTTTAGGTGAGATTAAAATGAGATTAATTAGATTAATTAATTACAGATCATAATTAATTAATCTCTCAATTTTTTTAATCGCATGACAGCACTAATTATTTTATATTATGTTTGTTCTGGATTCAATGGTTAAACAAAACTATTATTGAACATTTATTTTAATAGGAAAAGGTTTAATATTACATATCTCAAAAGAAGAGAAAACATGCAGATGTTGTTGAAATTTTTCAATAAATATTTAGTTTGGCCCACGACTTAGTCCCAGTTTTTCATTTTGATCCTTTGTGAATTTGAGTTGACACCCCTAATCTAGATGATTCAAGTGAAGGTGTGAACTTCCTGTAGTACCACATGACATCACAAGGTGGAACAGAGTGTTTTCAGTTTGAAAGAACTCAGCTTAAATGTTTGTGTTAAATATGTGTGAATGAGACAAAACACAACTCCAGGTATGTTAGCAACATAGATCAGAAAATAGTGTAATATGTGTCCTTTAACAACAGTATTTCTTTGTTAAACCACTTATGCAAAGTTAATACGGAATAAACCAATTCTGACCATTAAAACAATGAAAATGTCAAGTTTCCTTTCTCTGAACAAGCATCAACATTGTAGTGGTCACTAAATAATTTTTTAAAATATACCCCCAAAAAAACACTCTTTTTACTCTCAATTTATCAGTACAGCAGCCCACGATAATAACAGACAGATAACATCACCAAATTTACAATCACGAAATGTCGACAATTTCATATTTTAACACACTTGTAATTCAGAGTCAAAGAAGAGCTGTACTCACCTAGTTTTAAGGCTTGGGAAAAGCTTGGGAAATCTCTGTAGATGTTTTTGTAGAAAAAAAACTGTGTGAAGAATTAACCTCAGCGCTCCGAGATACAGTGAGGCACAGTGAAAGGTGGTGAATTAAAGGGCCCATATTATGCCATTTTCTATTTTTTTATATTGTTATTTCCTCATCACAAACATACCTGGAGTTGTTTTATTTCATTCATATGTTTAATACATAAATCCTGCATATTTTACTACTACTACTACTACTACTACTACTACTACTACTACTACTACTACTACTACTACTACTACTACTACTACTACTACTACTACTACTACTACTACTACTACTACTACTACTACTACAGTAAACACAGTGAAACATGGTGCATTAAGGAAGAGCATGAGAAACAAAGGTGCACTATGTAACTTTTCACTTGGAGTCCATCACCGTGTTTCTCGGATGTCATCGCTCTGCTTCAAATGTTCCACAGTATGAAAATTAACAGATCTAACTCTTATTTATTCAATTTCAGGTGGTTATATAACAAAAAAACAAGCATTCTGACCGAGGTGGGTTGCCTCTCCACAGATATGACCAGTAACGTGGCCTGGTTTGGTCTCTATAATAATAGAAAGGTGCCATACTGTTAAGCATTTTAGACAAAGCAATAACATCTCCATGGAGAAAAGCAGCTAGTACCAGAAAAGTTACACCATGCACCTTTATCATATGGGCCTATCTAAATCATTATTTGGTAGAACATATTTTCTCCTATTGAAAATGCAGGGTCATCTGTAATGTAATGGTACAATTTCAGCTCTATTCCTCGTGTACAGCTCCCATCACATCATGAAGCATGTAACCTAAAGTAACAAAGTGATCCTTTGTGCACATGAAATGGCTGAGCTCTGTACTCTGCAGTAAAACAAACTGTTAACAAGAAGTACATCAGTACATCATGAAAACACTTGCATACAGAAATGCAGAATCACAGTCAGATTTGTTTTTATTTGACTAAATTAAGGACTTATGTAAACAAAGTACAGAAACATCAGTAAATTTGACTGTTTTGAGCTAAGGGAAATGGTGTCATCTAGTGGCAAAGAAAGACATTTATTGTAAAAAGCATTTTCAAAAAATTAAATCAATTAATTAACTAAATGGTAAATCTGTTTCCATTCCAAGGCTGTACAAAATACAGACGGAAAATACTGAGCACATTTAAAACTTAGCAATAGTGTAACTACATTACTAAAATAGATCTGCTTTTTTGTATAAAAATGTTTTTAAAACTTGTTCATATATAAATCTATCCCCGATACACAGAGATGTAGCGGTACAACACAGAAAGTCATTAAGAAATTACATTTAAAAACCAATGCATCCACACACACAGACATCAACTTTCACACCTTCTGTACAGGTTAAGGCACATGTGGCAGCCACAATGTTTTAAAACTTAAAATACAAAAAATACATCATGAATTCAAATACAAATGTCAGTAAGAAAAAAAAAAAAAAAAAAAAAAAAAAAAAGCATAGCATGAATCTAAACTGTGATAATCTTATTTACAGTTGGTCGGATTGAAGATGGTCCTGAATCATGATACTTAATGTTTACACCACCAGACTTTCCCGACTAACAGCTCCATTCTGCAGAAAAAAGGACAAAAGATCAGTTAATTTAACGAAAATAAATAATAATGTCACCAATAGGACTAATATTACAGTGTTATGACAAATATGAGACTGTGGTGTCTCACCTTGCGAAGATTACTTTTCTTTGAAGACGACACACTTTCGTTATCACTGTAGGGGGGAGGGAGAGGAGGGGGGAAGTCATCACGGCGACCAGGGAAGCCTGAGGGGGGGTTGGAGGGTAGAGGTGGTGGTCTGGATCTGCCCATGTCCGAGCGGTCACTCTCACTGTCCAGTCTCTCCCTGCTGCGCGCCCTCTGCTGCTCGCCCAGCCTCTTCCTCTCCATGGCCTCTCGCAGGATGCTGTCGTCATAATCGTCACGCCCCCCTCTGGCTCCGCCCCCATAGCGCCGGTCCTTCTCCAGGTCCATCAGGTCATCACGGCTACGGCTGCGTCTGCCCGCCAGAGCGCTGTCTGCCCCTCTCCCTCTGTGGCGGTCCTCCGGAGAGTAGTCCCTCCCCCTGCGGTCGTCATAGACACGATCGTATCCACGGTCATACCCACCACGAGCGCTGGTGCTCCATTCATCGTCAGAGCTGAAGAATAAAACTAAATGTTACAACAGCCCAAATACACAAGGTCACGTCTTAAGTATCTGGTGACGCTGTTCTGCAAAGCTTTGACTCATATTACATTTTCACAATGTCGCTAATACAGTATATTGTTGCAATTCTTAGTTTTTAAGTATACAAGTACATTAAAATAAAAATTTTGCATCTTAGATTACACACATTATACTGTATATTCTTCACCCGTCTCCAAATTCACTTTATGTATTCAGTATATTCACGTGTGTTGTCATTTTAATCACTGCCTCAAGTTTTAAATACTATTGGAGGTTTTCCGTCGTGCTGATATTTGAATGTCACATGAACCAAATACTAAACATACTATTATTAGAAATCGTTAAATCTCCTCAGAGTTCAGGAGCAGGACCACACCTCACGTACTTCTCGCCCTCATTTATTCCACGTGCTACTCTCAGTCTTCTTATTTACGTGCCCCTTCTGCCCTCTTTTTTCTATTTCACATGTCTTACAAAGTTTGAAATCACAGGATGTTACCCTCTCCTTCCCCGGGGCTCCTCAGGGCGGCGGCGATAGTCATCGCGGTCAGATCCTCGCCCAATGTCATCAAGGTTGTCCATGGAGCGAGAGCGGCCGCGATAGTCTCCACCCCTGCGGTCGTCCGGGCGGCGGTTCACGTGCTGGGACACACTGCTGATGGTGCTCATGGCCTCGTCCCTGTCGTACACGGTGGACAGGGCTGGAGGCTGAGAGCGCCCTGCCAGTCTGCTCCTGTCACTGTCATGGAGAGAGCTCACCTCGCTCATGTTGTCCACTGGGGGAGAGAGAGCACAACCAGAATTCAGTACAAAATCATGAAAGCTCACAAATCAACATCAAAATCTATTTCTAAAAAGTCACAACTATAAGTAACATCAGGAGATGAAAAAGAACCCAGCACGTTAATCTATTGTGGCCAAAGTGAATCAAGTAAATAAGAAAGAAACTGAGCATTTTACACACTTCTTTAATATTTCACAACAAGGGTGTCAAACTCAAATGCACAGAGGACCAAAATTAAAAACTAAGTCGCGGGCCAAACTACTTACTGAACATTTTCAACAACATCTGCATGTTTTCTCTTCTTCGAGATATGTAATGTTAAACCTTGTCTTATTAAAATAAATGTTTAATAATAGTTTTGCTTAAACATTGAATCCAGAACAAGCATAATATAAAAAAAATAATAACAACATTTTAAATAAATAATGCCTCTATAGCAATAATCATCATCTCTCAAGCAAGCGGGCCAGCTCTAATACATATTTGATTAGATCTCGTGGGCCAAATAAATGTATATCTCGGGCCAAATTTGGTCTTGAGTTTGACATGTCTGCTTTACAAAGATGTGAAAAAATATTTCTGAGGGTTTTCTATCTGTAAATAATAAGTGACAAGTGAGCTCCTTCATTTCATATGCGTCACTGAAAAAAAACAGATCTGACTGGATGATCACATTTGATTGGACTAGAGGTGCGACAGAGAGCATGGGGACCAAGCTGTTGCCGATCTGTATAAAAAATACAGAGATAACATTTTGGATTTCTAAGTATTTTATAACAATCTGAGAAAATGTTCATTCCTCATATCAGTGCATTAATCCCTAAAAACGGAAACACAAATCTACCTTAGTAAGTGACCCACTGTTTTGTTGATGTTTAGTAGAACCTAACTTGACTTTCTGAACAGGTCAGAACCTGTTTCAGTATCATAAAGGAGTTACTCACAGCGGTTGTAATTGGCAGGTCTGCTTGGGTCCAGGTTGGCCAGTTCTCTCTCCATGTAGTAAATGGCTCGAGTGGCATTCCCCTCGGGATCCACCTGGATGCGATACCCACTGCGAGCTGCTCAAATCGGACAAACATCAGACAACAGAAAACATAGCGACTGAAACTTTTTGTAGACTTTTTGTTAGGGGTGGGCGATATCTCGATATTTATCTCGATAGTTTTTAAACTCGATATGAATTCTGAAATATCGTATATATCGATATAATTATATTCAATTCTGATTTCGCCGCTTCGCTTGTTTGTCTTCTCTCTCGTCGCCTCCGCGCTGCTGCCTCCCTGATTTTGTTCGCTCGTGTCTCATTCACTCCTCACTACCGCCGTGAATGCTGAAAATTGGTGCCAGTGAAAAGCTTCAAGCACCATGAACCTTTTCCACCATTTACAGACAAAACCACCAGCAGCACATCCTCATATTCCACTGAGTCCCGAAAGAAGCTAAACGAGCTGAGCTGCATGAGAAGTTCGCTGTTTATGCAAATGAGCCATGCACTTAAGTTTCGTTTCTGTAAAACGTAAACACACGTGCGCAAAACTGCATTTAACACATTATTATCGCAAACGGGCTGATGTGACTCGTAGTCGTTATGCTTTATATATTGTAAATTCTATTTATGCAGAAGATTTTAATTAATAATCTGCTTCAGTGTCACTTGTACAATAGTGTTTGGAATCGTTGGGTTTGATCTGCAGTGGATTGTGGGAAAACCTCAGAGCTCCTTACTGCTGGATAAGAACATGGATCTATTAAAATAAGGAACATCCTGAGCTTCTTCTGCTAAATGAACCCATGGTTCTGGTTCTGGTCTGGATAACAGAGTTAATGCAAAGATGAGCTTGTCTTGAGTTGTTTTATTTATGAATGAAAAGAAGGAAATATGTATTATTTCTTTTATTTTACAGTTAAATTATTTATGTAATTAGGGTTTTTTGTAATCTTAAATGTTCCTATATGAACTGCCGACCTCTTACACTTCAATAATAAAAAAAAGACCTTGTGGAATTTGGCAGATTTGTTTCTGCAGTTTTCAGTTTTAGGGGGTTATTTTTTCTTGAACATATATCGAGATATATATCGTATATCGAGATATAGCAAAATATATCAAGATATATTTTTTGATCCATATCGCCCAGCCCTACTTTTTGTGCATTAAATAAGATTTAAAAAAAATATGTTGTCAAGCTTTTCGGAATTGTGTGAGACCTTAGTGTGTAGACAATATAAAAAACAAGATGTTAGATAGGCCTGTCGCAATAACACATTTTACACTGACAAAAACCAGGTTAAATCCCAGTAAACCAATTTTTAAATCTGCAGTATGATTAAAAGGAATGAGCTACAATGAATAAATAGCAGAATGAAACAATAATTAGCCATAGAAGTTATTTATTCTACCCTCTACAGCTCAATTTTTACATTACATCAAAATGGCAAACATCTCCAAATTTTAGCAAAAAAAAAAATAATAATTTACACATGATAAAGCCCCAAAATATACTTTTCCAGCTTTCATATAATGAAAGATAAGTCAATATAGTAATTATTGAGACAGGCCTAATGTTAGAGAGGTTTTGAGCACTTACTATGATCTCCTCCGCCATCTTGGTCCCGAAGCAAAGGCACCTGGGAGCCTTGGCCCACTGCAGAGATAAACTTTGATTAGCTCCACTGTAAAAAACTGTATTAATAACTATATTTAAAAAGCCTGGTTCAGTTAAAGGTTCTATATTGCACATAATGCATTCTAGTGAGCATTAGGTCATGTTCACCTTTTCTTCTGTGTTCTGTGATCAATGTACATAAGAAACCACATTATATTTGAAACGATGTCATGAACAGGGGTGGGTTCATTTTATTTTTTTCTTATTCCCACTCCTTTTTGACAAATGGCTTTTACGTTGTGTACAATGTATATGTAGTAAGATTATTGTTTCTCTCTTGGCACAAACTCGAAATAAAAACAAAAATCAATCAATCAATGTTAGAATGTTGTTTCCTCATCAAAAACATACCCAGAGTTGTGTTTTGTTTCATTCAATTTGGAGATTTAGACAGACTAATAATTAAGCTTTACTCAGAGCTAAAAATGCTCTGTGCCACTTTGTGATGTCATGCAGTGGTAGTTTTCAACAAGTCAACAGCTACCTTTTACTTTCAGTCAGAGGTGGTGCTACCATTAGGTAAAAGTAGGTGGCCGCCTAGAGCCCCCAAACTTGGAGGGGCCCCCAACCAATTGCAAAAATAAAATTACTTTCAGCTCTGAATCTAGTAGGCTACTAACTAATAAGTTAGACAAGTTTCCAATTGACCCTAATTCAAATAAAGATGTGCGTGTCTCATGAACAATGGGGGAAAACAGATAGTAAATAGTATTTTAAAAATCAATAAAATTAATTAATAAAAAAATAATAATAATTAAAAAATAAAAATTTATAAAAATTTAAAAAAGAGTGCACTATAAAAGCAAATGCTTCTGTTTACATCCAGTGTTTGTGTTGACAGTTGTGTTGTGTATGTCTGTCATGAGATAACTCGTTTTGCATTTAATTGTTTTGACATGACTCCATGATCTTATTCTAAGGCACTGAATGTTGAGGATCAAAAACGCTACTTTAAAAAGTTAAACGCGCCGATGTTGATGATGTGACTAGGGGTGTCAAATTATCGCATTAATTGCGATTAATTAATTACAGTCATATTTAGCGCGTTATGTTTTTTAATTGCGTTAATCTCATTTTTAATCTCTAACTATACTGTTTCTGTATTTATTATAAAATCTGTTTTTATGTGTTGCTGGGACAACAACACACACACAAAAAACAAACACATTTATAAATTTTTTTATTTTGATAATTCCACTCATTGCCGGAAACCCACACAAAATGCACGCAGTAAGAGCGATGTAAACGTCATGTTAACGTTAGCGGCGTCACAATGGACGAGGTCGAAGAGCCAGTATAACAGACGCAGCAGTGCACAGGTAAAAACACATTCGTGTCTTGGAAATTATTCTCCCGACGTGAAATATAAAAGAAAATAACTATATAATATCGCCTACAACTTAAATGTCACTGGTGAAAACAACCTGCATAGACTCATGATGTCTGCACTACTGTCCTATATTGACCTGCCACATGAGGGGACACGCACACAAACACACAAACACAAACACACACAAACACACACCTTCATCATCGTCATTAATCTGAGAACGCGCAGACCACGTTTCCTTACGTAGTTACTGCGCGGACACCGACGTCCTCCGCGTACGTTTTCTCGCGTACGATGCGTAAACCGCGCTTCCTCCTGTGCGCCTCTAAACCAGATCTAACACCAAGACTAAAACCGGGACTAACCCAGTCCAGGACTAAACCAGGACTAAACCAGAACTAACATCAGGACTAAAACCAGGACTAACCCATTCCAGGACTAAACTAGGACTAAAGTAGGACTAAAGCAGTTCTAAACCAGGACTAAAACCAGTGATCTCATATATAAAGCATTTCTCTATCAATAATATTTTTAATATGGTTAAGGAAAGACTGGACTTTTTTATTGTCTTTAAGTAGACAAAAGTTATTATGTTCAGATTTCCTAGTCTTTGCTACTTTACAGCAAACAGTTTCTTATTCATGGAGACTTGGGCTCAACAGCCAATTTGAAGAGAACAAACAAGAACAACATTTGCAGGATGTGGTTGCTACATTCATGTAGTTTTAAAAAGCATGACAATATCAAGTAATCCAAAGTATTCAAATTACATTACTCACTTTAAATAATTAAATGGATTAAGTTACAAACTACATTTTGGGATATGTAATCTGTATTCTGTAGTGGAATACATTTTAAAAGTAACCTTCCCAACACTGCAGATTAGTAATAGTAATAATAATGATGATACTGTGGAATGTAAGTGACTGCATCTGTTAATGTTTGTTAAACAATAAATTACTTTATAAAGTCACTTTTTTTTTTTGTTCTATATCAGTCTTTTGATCTGCCACAATAATGTAATAATGAATTTAAAAGAAAATACCTCAAATTGAAGCTTTTCTCAGCAATTTTTAGGTGAGATTAAAATGAGATTAATTAGATTAATTAATTACAGATCATAATTAATCAATCTCTCAATTTTTTTTTATCACATGACAGCACTAGATGTGACTTCTCTATAGTGAGGGCCCCAAATTCAAGTTCGCCTAAGGCCCCCAAATTGCTAACTCCGCCAATGCTTTCAGTTAAGTAAAGACTGGAAATTCCACGGCTGAAATTATCTAAATGATTCTAGTGAAGGTGTATGGCATTTAAAAACACAATGTAGCACTTCTTGTATTACCACATGACATCACAAGGTGGAACAGGGTGTTTGAGAGAACTCAGCCTAAATATGCGGGGTTTGTGTGTTAAACATGCGTGAATGAAACAAAACAGAACTTCAGGTATGTTTGTGATGAGGAAACAACATTATAACATAGAACAGAAAATAGCGTAATATGGGCGCTTTAAATAAAAACCAGTCCTACCTGAACTGGCTCCGTCATAGTCTCGTCCATAGTTGTTAGGAGGTGGACCCCCCATGCCGTTGGGTATGGGAAGCATGGGCATGGCAGGCTGGTTCATCCCACTGTAGGCAGGCTGTCCATACATGCTGGGGGCGTACAGGGTGGCAGCGTACTGACTGGCCATGCCCTTCTTCACGGCTTTACCCGCCTCGTACACTGGGAACACAGAGAACCAGGCTGGTCACATGATGCACCGTCTGAATCACGGAGACTTTGTAACTAGACATCGACCAATACGTTTTTTCATGTCTTATTTTAGTGTTTAGAATTCAGAAATATTGCCGATATTTCTGCATGGCCGAGTTTAGTTATTTTCCCTTAATTATGTCATTTAAAAGGTGCATTGTGTAACTCTTCTGGTGAAGGGTCTGTCACCTGCTTGTATGCCATTGCTCTGCCTGGAATGCTCCACAGTGTGACATTAAACAGCTCTACTTTACATTTATTTACTTAAAAGTGTTTTATAGCTCAAAAATACCTAGAAAAACAGGCAAACTGACTGTGACAGGGTTGCCTTGCCACAGATCTGACCTGTAACTTGGTCTGGCTTGGTCTCATAAAAACAGAAAGGTTTAATATTACATTATTCAGTGAAATATTCCAGATAAAGCAATAACATCTCCATAGAGAAAAGCACTAGAAAAGTTACACAATGCACCTTTAAATTTACCTCAATCTCACCCACAGCCTTTTTTTTTAAAACCATAAACCTTCAAGAGAACAGTGTAGTCACGCTTTGTTAAAAAAAAAAAAAAAAAAAAAAAAAGCGTTAAAATAAAGATTTGTGTGTAGTTTTTAGGCAGCAGATCGATAAAAACAAAATATGGACCTGTGTTGGGAGACTGAAAAAAAATAAATAAAATATAAAGCTGAAAAGTCCAAGCACTGGCCTGGTAATATTTCAGTTTATAACACAAGTCACTCTAACTTACTATAACCATAATTAACCTACTTGTACTGATAGTTTTGCAGTCCTCTATTTTTACTGTATATTTTGTATATTCAGCCAAAATCTATTTTTTATTTTTATTTTGTTTATTTTTATAGTTTTATTCAATATTCTATGTAGTTAGAATCAAGTCGGTGTAATTCCGCATTTGTCCAGGAGAGGGCCACATTGTCTGAACTCCAACTCATTTTAAAACATCTGATTCATGCAGTTAAAGCTGTGTCAATATTTGCCAATACTGTCTTTGTCCCTAAAGGCCCTGGAGTTATTTCAGCTTGCTCCCATACATGTTTTGCTAAAATCTGAAATGTATTAACCGAGTATATTTGTAACTGTTCAAATAAATAATAAAAAATGATAAATAAATAAAAGTGTACTGGCATCTAAAATTGATCATGTAATACAAATTTGGAGTTAAAGATATGGCTTATTTTCATGGTTGATTGTTTCAAATCCATAGAAAGCAATGGCCAATAAAATCTGCTCATATTTTTGGCCCAATAAAGGGCAGATTCATAACATTTTCGCGACTTTATCTCATTTGAATTCACAACAAACTCACCCGCAACCCTGTTTTATTACACACTGGATAAGAAAGCAGCATCCCCTTTGTGGTTTGTTTGAGCAGTGTCCTCTTTGTGGTTAACTGCTAAAACAAACCTTTAAGCATTTTCTTTAGGCAGTTGGTTTACAAAATATTTTTGACTGATCAGCTCCAATAAATTCTAGAAATCTACAAGTTTTAATTATCAACTTTTAAAGAACATATATTTTGCATAAGTCTGCTATAGGTATAGTCTACAATACCCATGGATAATTATAATTTGCATATTTACAATCTCTCCAAATACAATTCAAAGAAAAAGAGGAAGCAACTATGTTTTAGATCAGGGGTGAGCAAATTGCAAGAAAAGGAAAGTTTCTGAAGAAACCAGAACATTTAATGCTACGTGGGCAGATTCATTTGCTTTCACGGCTGATGAGACTGGTTTACACGTAATAAAATGAAGACGGAACACAGAAGCAGACGGTGTACTTATTTTGCTATGGGTGGAGAGTTTAAGTTTGGATTTTTATTTCCTACAACAAGAACTCATTTAAACTTTGAATCTTTCATTTAAAAGTAAGCATCAACCAAGTGTCTTTTTTTTCGGATTTCAAAATGTTTTTGCTTCATGCCGAAATATTTTATATTTTATATATATTTTAATAATGTTTTCTGTAGCTTTTCAGTGATTTCATCAACGCAACACAGTATAGTCTTTTATACAGAGCATACGGGTAAAAAAAGATATGCAGTGTTTCTCTCATTTCAGAGTCAAAAGGGTTTTGTGGCTCCAGGTGTTTTCCGTGGGAGACGCTCCAGAGGGCTGTGAGTATTTGATGGGGGCCAAGCCTTGGTCTACATGAGTCATTAAATACCATATCCTGTTGTGATACAGACTAATGATTTCAAATGGTTCATCTGTTGCATTGTCTCTGTTCATCACCACAAAGAAACAGAAGAGGCCTGTTCTGTGTTTACACTCATTTTGACCAGTGATTTTTGTTTTCAAAACCATTCACCTTGTCACGTATCACGTATTTGGCTACTTTACTGCACAATAGGCTGTGCTTTAATGAGACTGCATTAGCTTCTTAGGCAGTTGTTTCATTTGTTGGATATCACAGCACATCTTTCACAAATGAGTAGGGATGTAACAATAACCAAAATATCATGATATCGTATGGTCCCAATTTCTCACAATAACATCATGGACCATCACAATATATTGAAGTTTCTTTGCTTAAATTAAGAGTTATGGTGCAGCAATAGCTAAAACAAGACAGAGGGAACTACATAGGCCATGATCCTTTGCTCCATTTCAGTGTAAACTACATGAAGAAATAACAGTTCTAAGCACTTTTAAGTCTTAGTTCTTTGGATTAAGTCTTGTTAAGGCATTTTAAGAAGAAAAAGTAGCATATTAACAGTTTTGTTAGCCTCTACAAAATATCACAATAAATATCGTACCGTGAGATGTATATTGTGAAAATGTTGCATAATTATCGTAAAAGATTTGGATGTCGTAACATCCCTAATCGTGAGCCTCCCTATCATATCATGAGCTTTCCCACGATATTGCAATAAATATCGTACCGTGAGGTTCATAACGTGACTATAACTTATCATGAGACTTGGATATGGTTACACCACTAGAAATGAATTAGTTTGTATGAGTTTGTTTGAGTGTCTGAATGAACAAGACCTGTGCTATGTCAAGGTCACACACCTTGAGGCCTCACCTATTCAACACAGTCCTCACTTACGGTTAGTTCTTCACAATTATTGTTTACTCTTTATTATTAATAAGCAGAAAAGCAGCTTGTGGGAGTCACATTAAGGGTGCATTGTACTTTTCTGATTTCTGAGTGTCCATCAAATGCTTGTCTCCATGGAGATACTATTGTTTTGTCTGGAATGTTTCACAGAAACTCATTAAGAGCCTCACAAAAACTAATTAAGTTAATTTTAACTTAGTGAATTTTAGACAAGTAAGATCAGGCACAAATGTTTTTACACTCCATGATTCTGTCTCCTATAGAGGATTGCATAACCACATGGTCACTTGCTGCTGGCACAACACACAAACCCATCAAATCAATTTTTTAAAAAGCCGTAAAAATAATGGACAAGAAACCACTCATTTTCACCACTGCAACTGCAGTATTTTAGAAAAGTACAACCTGCTTAAAGTTAATAATTTTGTTGATTTTATATAAGGATGTTTTATATAGAAAGTTTTGTATGGATGTGCCCCCCCCTCCGTTACAGAATTTTATTAAAGTAAAGACTGTCATTGGGTGGGAACTAGGGCCACAGCCCGGGGGAACTGTGAGATCCCACACAGACGCACCACATTTGGACAAAGTGCGTCTCATTCAGAGGCACTAATTTCTGAAACAGTCTCTCATTATCAATAAAAAAGACTCAAACGCTGGCCACTTTCAAATTCTACTTGAAACAGTGGCTAAAGGAAAACCAGACTTGTGGACACTTTTAGTGTATAACTGTCACTTGTTATTGTTGTTTTTTCTCAGTTAAATTTGTGTTGTTACCTGCCTATGGACTACAGATGGAAATGAGCATTCTTGCTATAATCTCATATTTAAGTCAAGTCATATTTACACTGCAGTGTTGTAGATGTTGATTAATATGCACTGTTAAATTAATTTTAAAAAATAAAGTATGGCATTAAATCTAACTATCTTCATGGAGACCAAACCAGACCAAGTTACAGGTCAGATCTGCTCACAGTCAGAATATCTGTTTTTTTCTAGGTATTTCTGAGCTATAAAACCACCTGTAATTAAATAAATATAAAGTAGAGCTGTTTAGTGTCATACTGTGGAACATTCCAGGCAGAGCAATGACATCCATAGAAACAAAAAGGAGACAGATCCTAAGCAAAAAGTTACACAGTAATATTGAGTAGGTGTGCCCGTCAGTACTCACAGGCTCGGGGGCAGCAGCAGCGGTCAGGGCAGCACGGGCAGCTGATGTAACAGCAGCAGGTGTGAGGGCAGCACTGGCACCAGCAGATCCCAATGAGCAGAAGTAACAACAAGAAACCCAGGACCACCAGGACCACCAGGAGCCAGTCTGTGGACACAAGACACCATCACAGTAGGCCTTACTACTAACTTAGAACTTACAACTTAGACAAACTTTATTGATCCACAAGGGACACTACTTGGGCACAGTAGCTCACACATCACAAAATATTATATTAACAAAGAGTAAAAAATAAGAATGGTAATCATAAATTCTAAATAAGCAGCAAAAAAGATAGCAAGAGAAGTGTGAGAAGAATCCGTGTATCTTTCGTTCATTCGTTTTTCAATATAAAACCAAAAATAAGAAAACGAAAAAAAAAAAACTATTTTCTTCATTATTTGTTTCCAAAACCAAAAAAAAAAAAAAGAATAATGGAAAAAAGGATAACGGCCATTTCCTGTTTCCGTGACATAAACTGAACCAGGACTGAACCAGGTCCAGGACCAGACAAGAACCAGACCGGGACTGAGACCAGGACTTAGACCAGGACTGAATCTGGGATCAGGACCGGGACCGGGACTGGGACCGGGACGGGGACCGAGACGGGGACCGGGATCGAGACCGGGACTGAGACCAGGACTGATTCAGTCCTGGTCTCAGTCCATATGCGGCGCAAATATCCAGCATTGCAGTTTAGTCACAGAAACAGGAAACTGCCATTATCCATTTTTTCCATTATTCATTTAAACACAAAAAATGTATTTAATAAAAACATTTATTCGTTTTTTCATTTTGATTTTGGAGACGAATAATGAAGAATTTTTGGTTTTATATTGAAAAATGAATGAACAAATGATACACTGATTAATAACACATAATACATGTATGTGTACAAGTCAAAATAAAATAGTAAAGAAGTAATAAAAATATCTCAGCTATACACAAGAGTTTGTAAGGAAAACAAAAATGATATGATGATAAAGAGGACATAAGCTTATCTATTACATAAGGGGGAGTTGTTGTACAGCTGTTTAATACTTTCTAAAGTGTGATATATTACAGTACTGAAGAAAACCTACACGACAAACTATAACACTGAAAGTAATTTAAGCCACTGAAACAAAGACCTTAAAGCAGAATTATACCACAAAATCTATTATTAGACCTGTTATTATACTATATGGACTTACTGCTTAATATATTTGGTACTTTTTGCTACTTATTTAGAATTTATCATTACCATTTATATTTATATACTCTTCGTTATTATATTATATTGTGATCTATGAGCTACTTGTGGATCAATAAAGTTTGTCTAAGTCTAAGAAGTATTTTATTTTGCTACTTATTGCAAGCAGATTTTTTTTTTAAACCTTTGTTTTTTTTAGAATAGGGATAATCATGCTTTAGGGTTATTGTGTAAGCATCTTACAGTCCCTGACAAAAGTCTTGTCGTTTATCCATTTTGTAGAAACAAAAGCTTATAACCTGACTTTAAATTAATCGATTGGTTTTTAGAAATGTCTCATATGAAAGCTGAAACCCTCACAAATTATGCTCAATATACTAAAATAAATTTGCTTCATTGAAGAAAGATTGATCATTTAATGAACACAGAAAGGTCAGATTTTGGCAAGACAAAAGTTTTGTCGCCTACAGAAAATGTAATAATTTACTTCAAATACAAAAATATGTTGCATAACGTCAGTGAATTAAGTAGTGGTGCTGTGAGATCCATATTTAATATCTTGTATGACTTCCATGAGCTTGAAGGACTGCATGCATGCGGTTCAACAATGATTCATACAATTTGTTGATGAAGTCATCAGGAATAGCAAAGAAAGCGTCTTACATGCCTCCCAGAGTTCATCAAGATTCTTTGGTTTTGCCTTCCATGCTTCCTCTTTCATTCTACCCCAGACATGCTCAGTGATGTTCATGTCTGGTGACTGGGCTGGCCAGTCCTGGAGCACCTTGATCTTCTTCACCTTGAGAAACTTTGATGTAGAGATAGAAGTATACGATGGAGCACCATCCTGCTGCAAAATTTGAGCCTTTTATGGTTGGGAATGTAAGAGGAGCTAATACTTCTTGATATTTTTGGTTATTGATATTTGCCTTCCACCCTGCAAATGTCTCGCACACCCCCAGACTGGATGGAACCCCAGACCATGATTTTTCCGCCACCAAACTTAACTGTTTTCTGGGTGAATCTTGGATCCATGTGGCTCCAGTAGGTCTCCTGCAATATTTGCGGCGGCTGTGATGTAATTCAACCAAGGTTTCATCTGAGAAATCCACCTTCTGCCACTTTTCCAGTGTCCATCCTTTTAGCAGGCTGTGGGCCTTGGCAAATGCCACACAGTTTTTTAATTGCCTTTTGTTTAGTGCTGGTTTCTGTGCACTGATTCGACCATGGAGGCCATTTCGAGACAGAATTCTGCAAACTGTTGTGGTTGACACAGGGACTTGAGGTGACCAGGCCTGGTGGAGTCTGCTGCAGTGGAAAAGGGGCTGGCCTTGGATTTTCAAATCAACAAACGGTCCTCCCGAGCAGTTGTCTTGCGGGGTCTGCCGGACCTGGGCTTGTCAAAAACATCTCCAGTCATTTCAGATCTTTTTCTTATTCTTTGTACTTGACGCTGAGACACATTGAAGGTGTCACCACCTCAGCAGTGGATCTGGTCTTCATCCTCTTGATAATTAATGCTTTGGTCTCAGGGTGGATCTTAGGCATGTTGTCAGAGGTCAAGTTGCAGTTGATGTGAAGGTCTGGTGTGCTGGGCTTCTTTTTATACACACCCACTAATTGATTGATCAGTAACTGATCACAGGTGAGGCTGTAATCTAGGATCGGGTGCATCATATGACAAGGCGACAAGACTTTTGTCTTGCCAAAATCTGACCTTTCTGTGTTCATTAAATGATCAATCTTTCTTCAGTGAAGCAAATTTATTTTAGTATATTGAGCATAATTTGGGAGGGTTTCAGCTTTCATATGAGACATTTCTAAAACCAATCGATTAATTTAAAGTCAGGTTATAAGCTTTTGTTTCTACAAAATGGATAAGCGACAAGACTTTTGTCAGGGACTGTATGTTTGTATAATGAGAGAGTATTACACTTTGCATTTAAACATTTAAACAAAATGGCTTTAGTTTAACTTTTGTTTTTACAATTACAAAATTACACAAAGTATTTTAAAAGGTGCACTGTGTAACTTGTGTAACTTTTTGGTTGGGGATCCGTCACCTGCATGTTTCCATGGATATGTCACAGCTTTAATGTTCCACAGTAAACAACTCTACCTTACATTTATTATATTACAGGAGGTTTTATAGCTCAAAAATACCTAGAAAAACAGGTATTCTGACTGTGAGCAGATTTGACCTGTAACTTGGTCTGGTTTGGTCTCCATGAAGATAGAAGGTTTTAATGGAGTGTTTCACAGTATGGTGAAACATACTGTGAAACATTTCAGACAAAGCAATAACATCTCCATGGAGAAAAGCATTTGAGGTCCTCCACCAGAAAAGCTAAACAATGCACCTTTAAGTGAACCATCTGGTGTTGGCGACAGATAAGATGAATACAGCAACCTGAGTAAAACAGCTGTCACGCCAAGTCATTTGTTTCTTACACCGTGTAAGAAACAAATGACTTGGCGTGACAGCTGTTTAGGTGTAAGTTACACCTACATCTTAGAAATTGAATTATACAGTATTTACTGATCGGTGTGATGTGGCTATAATGTATTCAAATGAAATGTATGCCATGGCCTTTTAAAATCTACTGCAAGATTTAAGACCAAGATACACTGGTGGAAAGCAGAAATGTTGGTGTAAAAAGGGAATATGCAAATGATGAGGTTATATTAAGTCAGTTTGGGTAATGAGTCATAATCTCAGTTATGTCAAAATTTGACATCATGACAGGCCTGTAGAGGGTTCTATATCTAGTGTTGTTTCGATACCATTTTTTTGGGATCCGATCCAATACTGATACTTGGCCTTGGCCCCAAAAGTCAACAGCGGCTGCTTGCATCTACAGTAGGGTTGGACAGTATTACAGTATTATGGTATCCCACGGTATCAAAAAGTAGCAATGGTATCAGTTTCATTACCATCATTAAAAAAACCTGCAGCTCATAAGGACCTAATATAATAATATAATTTATTGATACCTAAATTAGTTTGCTCAGCACAAATGAATGTGTGGTTATATTTTCAATTTAATACTATCATGATTTAAAACTGATAGTGTCTATAATGTTTCTTTTAACTGTGCAGGGAGATGACATTCGATTAGTTTCGTTCCGTTGTCACGTGATGCTCATAAGGGAGACCAAGACAAGATGGCAAGTCAGGGCACAAACGAGTTGGTCCCCCCAAAAAATGACTAGTGCTTCTGCAATTTGGCAGCATTCTGGCTTCAGGCACACATTTGTTCACATTTTATAGAAATTAAACTTAAGTTTAAAAGATAAGTTTAATGCTATACTGTAGAACATTTCAGGCAATGTAATCAAATCTCCATGAAAAAAAAGAATCTGATGACAGGCCGACCACCAGAGGTTACACAATGCACCTTTAAAAAGATCACAAGAGTCAATTTTGCATAATATAGGACCTGTAAATAATTCATTTACCCTACATTTTTTACTGCAACATAACATATTATTTGATATGTCAATAATATCTACATTACTAAGAGATAAAGCAGTTGTTTGTGTACTTTTCAGGGCTATGTTTAACCAGCCAGACCAGTTTATTTGAGTATCCAAACCATGATTTCACGCTGCAAGTCACATCAAGCCACTGGAACACTCACAAGAATAATCACAGACACGGAAAAGAGCATTTAGCAACGAAGGAAATGGGGCTAAAGCAGGGGTGATGAGTCAGATTTACAGAAAGAGTGTGGGCTGAGGCATGGGCCAGGTTCAGCTTTCTATATGATTTTATACCTTAGATTACAAAACCAGGAACCAGTATAACAGTTTTTAATAAGATACTAGGAAAACCAAATGAGTAACAGAGAAGGTTTTACATGAAGCACTGTGCAAATAATCAAATTGTAATTGAGATTTGTGATTGTGAAAATGCATAGCGCTTTCTTTAGTATTTTTTTTTAATGAGCAGTGGTGAATGAAGTACTCAAGTAAAAGTACAGATGCAAACACGTGAAAAGTAAATATCACATTTTTAAAAATCCAGTTAACGAAAAGAATTAAAGTACCAGTTTTTTTTTAAAAAGTATTTTGCAGAGATTTTTAGAAAAATTAAAGGATGAAATGTTGTGTTTTTGAAAAAGAATTTTGCAGATTTTAAGTCTTAATTTTCCTAGCTGCATTTGTGTATTTGTCCATTTGGTTTGCTCAAAGTTGGAAAGTTAACTCAGATTAAAAGTGCTAGTTTCTGCCATTTCAGCAGGTCTCAAACTGTAAAGAAAAGTACCTGCCCAGAGAAAGACCATCTTGCTGGTCGAAATGCGTTGGCGTCACTCCACGTAATAAGGGATTTTTACATTTTCCAGTGAGGGCTACATTCTGTTGAGCTATCACATTTAACCCTCGTAGATTGCCTGTGCTGCTATTTTTTTGTAACTTTTTTTATAACCCAGGGAAGCGCTCTACCTCTTCTCTTCATAAAGAAAAAGTACTTTGTACTTGTTAGTCCAGATCTAAAATGTAGTGGAGTCAAGAATACAAGTAAAAGTAAAAAGTATCCACTGTAAAATGCACAGTGTAGATAGACAAGATACCGAAAATTTGTACTTATGCATTATGCACTTAAGCATGATGCACTTTTATTTTTGTACTTCTTTCCTTTCCCCACTCAAAATGAGACTTAAAAATAAAAAATTGAAAGCCATTTTTATTCATTTTTAATAAAACTAAAAATCTAAATCAATAATTGCCATCAAGGAATCAAGGAGACGTTTTTTAAATCTCCAGCTCTAGTTTTCTAGTTTTGATACTACTTCTGGTAATAATGAAATGCGCAGGACAAAATTCTGTTTAATTTACACAAAACGAAAAGCACTTTGTGAAGAAAAGTTGAAAATGACAGGTTCTATTTCAGAGAATGCCACATTGACATCATGCAAGGGACAATTTATACTTGCAAAACACATTTTTCTGATACTTTAAACACTACTTAAACAAAATAAAGGTGTTTTCTTATGATTTTATTTGTGAAATAATAATCTCTGTGTACATTAGGGGGTTTTGGGTTTTGTTTTACGTCATAGTTGCTAGGTAACAGCTATGGAAGTAAAATTTGAAACCTCAAAAATAGCCAGACTGGGAAAGAAAGAGTAAAATGTTTTGTAAAACCTTAAAATGATAATGATCTTAACTGTGCTTTAGTAAAATGTGCAGCAACCTAACAATGTTGTTATTGTGAAATTGTTGAATTTTGAGGTAAGAAATGAAACCTGACCCACTTCTACCACAGAAAGCCACAGCCAAAAGACACATTCAGAATTGTATTTTACAGTTAAAAGTGATTAAACTGACTGGCATAGAAGTTTATGGAACAAATTCAATTACGTATTTGCATAACACAATTCTGAATCTCTTCGTAATGTTAACCAAAGCCACACGAATGTCCTCCCCCTGCCCATATCTCCACTACTTCTACAATTTTAAGGGGCTTGTACCTTCCATAACCAGTAAGTCAACCTCAGGCAGAAGATCAGTGGTATTTGACTTTCTCTCTGCGAAAGAAAGATAAAGTTCCAGTTACTTACCTTATTTTTCAGACTATAAGACGCATCAGATTATAAGGTGCAATATCAATAATGTTGAATTATTTCATCTATTTTCATACATAAGGCACACCAGAGTATAAGGAGAATTAAGCGAAACAAACAGCAGTTGAGACTGATCCCTTAGCTCAGGCATCCACGATCCACTGGCAGATTATGGCGTCACTCACCCAGAGTTACTACGGTAGCCGTAATGTTCTGACAATCCATCAAGAGGTGCGGCTCCGAGAGCCCTGCACCCCCCCAGGAGGCTACGCAAAACAGGGCAGTGAGGGATACATTTTGAAAGCTCATTGTGGGCGCAGGACTGCACAATGTGAGAGCAGCCAGGTGGGATGATAATCTGCCATCCCGCAAACTAAATATGAGTGTAAAGTAAAATATAGAAATGAATAATGTTTGCCTATCATACATCATTTGTGCTGGATATTTTATTTGGCATTAATAAAAATATTTTAAGCAGCCTAAACTCGCGGATGTGGTCTAATCTTGCGCACACTTCAGACAATTCCTTTCTGCTTTCACATGTTTGATCGATCTTAAGAAAGCGAACATCCGAGCAAACATTTTGAGGGATTTGCGGGCGGGAGCGGAAATGAAAATTACAATTATTCAGAGGCGCAGGTGGGAGCAAGACTGAAAATTCTGTCCTGTTCAGATTTTTGAGCGCCACATGTCTGGTCGGTAAGCACAGCCAGAATTAATACAAAAGGCGCACCGGATTATAAGGCATGCTGTAGATTTTTTGAGAAAATTAAAAGGATTTTAAGTGCCCCTTATAGTCTGAAAAATATGGTACAATACTCTAGCCCCCCCCTGCTGGTAGACTGCTATCCAAATCAAGAACCAACCCATTGACGGGGCCCATACAAGCCTGCTGACTCACACTTGAGAAGGGGGAAGGGGGAGAGACTTGGAGTGGTCCTGGTAGTGTGTTTGTGTACTTACCGAGTACAATGAGTTCAGTGTAGTCTTCTGGGTTTCCTGTGAGGTCTGAGGAAGAAGTGACGGTGCAGATGTAAACCCCACTGTCTCCCCATGCAGTCTGTGCTATGTTCAGATCAGCCTCTGCAGCAAGAGAAGATAAAGATATTATGACAGTCATTTTGAATTTTTTTTACCTTTATTTTCAGGTCTAGTATTGTAATTATTAATGCATTTATTTGAACTGATCAATTGAAAGGTCCCATATTACCAGTGGTGGATGTAGTATTCAATGTTGTTACTTAAGTAAAAGTACAGATACAAGGAGAAAAGATTACTCAAGTAAAACATGAAAAAGTCTACTTAAGTAAAACTACTGAAGTACCTGTTTAAAAATGTACTTTAAGAGTAATAAGTAAAAGTAGTTTGCAGAGATATTTTTAACAATTAAAAGATCAACTGTAGTGATCTAACAGTTTTTATGTATTCGCTTTGCTCAAAGGTTGGACGTCAACTCTTAATTAAAGGTTGTATAGAGGATTTTCCAAGGAACGAGAAATCCAGCAACTGTTTGTCCTTTTTCAAATGTTGCGCATGCGTGAAACCACCCCCCCTCCCCTACAGCTCCCTACGTAGAAACACCTCTTCCCGCCTCCTCCTTACGCCAGAAATAGGTTTGTTCACAGCCGGTGCACTGCACATGACTTGTAAACAGCTAAATACAGTGTTGGTTAGGCAAGACGGAGAAGTGAGGAGCGTGGGGACGGGCTGTGCGGACATTTCGTGCGTGGACAAGAAGTGAGGAGCAGGGAGAGAGGAGAGGAGAGCGGGGAGCGAGGAGAGGAGAGGGGAGCGGTGTGCGGAGATTCCGTGCGCGGAGAAGTGAGGAGCAGGGGGAAGAGCGGAACGGGCAGCGGGGACAGGAGCAGGAAGGGGTGCAGAGAAGGGTGCGCGGAGATTCCGTGCGAATGAACTAGCTACAACACGCAGCAGCAAGCGGACTCTTTCTTTGCCTTGAAAATTACGTTTTCAGACATAGGATATCGCATTCGTGTCCTGAAAAACGTTTGTCTAGCTCTTGGAAATAAAGTACATTTTCATAATAAGCAGAAGTGACCTGTCCAGGAGTAATTTGGCGACCAGTGCGTCAGTCTTTAGACCCTTCGTCTGCTTCAGTTGCGCCATCGCTGGAATGAATCTACAAGAATCACCTTAGTTTGGCTTCGCTGCTTTTCCCCTTGTCTTCTTCTTTCAGCGACCTCAAAAACGGACTTTCTTTTGCGGCTAACTGCTGCCATTGCAACAAACTTTGTGCGAACTGCGAGGAAGATATAGGTCAAAAAAGCCGCTAAGAATCATTGGGTTGGTGGAGTAAACAGCGTCTGTGCGTCTTGCGTCTGTGGACTGCGTGACAGGCGTACGTAAACCACGTACCGGCAGCGCGCAGGCAAGTCAGTTACGCTAGAAATGTAGGGAGTTTGATTGACAGCCTATCAACTAACAGATAACGAGGCAGTGTCGTTATCTATTGGCAAATGTTTAGCTGGCCCCACCACGTCCAGAGTTGATTAATTTTTATTCTCTTTTTTTCATAATTACAAGGCTACTGCACCTCTATAATGCTATCATTGACAATTTGAAACAAAAAAAATCCTCCATACAACCTTTAAATGTGCTAAAAATAAGTCTCAGCTTTTTCAGCAGGTCTCAAGCCATAAAGAAAAGTACTTTTTTACTTTTCAGTCAAGATCTACAATGTAGTGGAGAAAGTACAGATACATGCTCTCAAATGTAGTGAAGTAACAGTAAAAAGTATCCACTGGAAAATGTACTAAAGTAACGTACACATGCCTAAAAATGTTACTTAAGTACTGTAGTTTTACTTTTGTACTTCATTACCTTGCAACACTCTATATTACATTAGGGTTGTCAAAAGTAGTAAAACAGGATTCTAACCAATATTAAAATAGATTTTGAAACTAGACACTCATTTGAGCACGTATCAATACTAAGAATAAAATCACATTCACAGGACAGAAATAAATAGCTTTTGAAAGATCAGAACAAGTGTCAGATTACATAGACGATGATCTACTATGGTACTTACTATAACTGGTCGACTGAATGTTGAAAATTACACTCTGTTGTCTAAATTGCATTATGGTGAATCAGAATCGGTATCGAGTTCATTTCTCAAAACTGAATTACATATTTGTTTCTTTGCTTCTTTCTTTTGTTGGTGGTTTCAATAAACTATAACTGTTAAATGTTACCAGTAATTACTCATAAGACAACTACTTTAAGCAGTGATAGGAAAATGTATTTAGTTACAAAATACTTAATACCTGCATTAAAATGTATTTTGTTAAGTATTCTGATACATGGGCCAGTCAGAGTACTGTATTCTGAATACTTTGAATACTTTCACGCCAAGTTAAATTATAGTGTAAAAACCCAACATAAGATTAAAAACAGATTTGTTTCATCTTTTGTTAGGCATTTATTTATCAGAGAAGGAAAAATCACACGTCTCACTGCAAGAGCAGTTTTTTATATTTTTCTCACAAATTTGAAGCCTTAATTGAGTGATCAAGTACCACCATGTATTCCTTTGATTTTAGAAAAGTAACTATATTTTTGAATACTATCAAATAAAAAAGTAGCTGTACAGGAATACAGTTACTCAAAATTACTCTTATTATTCTTTTTAAGTATTTATTTTTGGCAATAAACTCTTTACATTCTTTTACAATGGAACATAGTATCTTATGTATCTATGTAACTTTCTGGCTGGGGGTCCGTCATCTCCTTGTTTCAATGGACAAAAATGTCACTGCTCTGCTTCAAATGTTCCATAGTATGGCATTAAACAGCTCTACCTTACATGTATTTACTCACCTATGTGGTTTTATAGCTCAAAAATACCTAGAAAAACAGGCATTTTGACTGTGCGTGGGGTCATTGATCTGACCTGTTACACAAAGCATGTTGGAGAGAGTCACTCACGGTTTACGATGCTGATCTTGCGTCCTTGGTATTCTGGGCCCAGAGTGACTGCAGTGTTGTCTTTAGAAGCCACGATTCGCACAGTCCGCTGGGAATCTGCACACTCGATGTTGGGGTCATAGTTGGGGTTGTTCTGAGCCAGGATGTTGTCCGCACTGCTCGGGTTCAGAGCAGCCTGCACTGGATCCCTACAATAGGACTTGTACTTCCACAACACCACAGGGGGCTGGGTGGACGAGGTCTGGTAGTTGCAAATCAGGGTCACGGGTTGAAACAGGATCACCACATACCTTTTGGTGGGGCACTGGACAGTTATCGCAGTGCTGTAGTCTAAATCATAAGAGACAATGGGATTTAGACATTAGACAATAGGCAAAATTTAGTAACATTTAAAAGTGCCTGTACTACACCATTTTCTGATCTATGTTATAATGTTGTTTCCTCATCAAAAACATACTTGGAGTTGTGTTTTGTTTCATTCACACATGTTTAAACACACAAACCCTGTATATTTAGGAGCTATTCGCACAAACAGAAATGTTCTGTTCCACCTTGTGATGTCATGTGGTAATACACGAAGTGCTGCACTGTGTTTTTAAAATCCATACTCCTTCACAAGAATCATTTGGGTAATTTCAGCCTTGGAATTGCCATTCTTTACGTAAGGTAAAAGGTCACCCTTAACTTGAAAACTACCGCTTCATGACATCACAAGATTGAACAGAGCATTTTGAGCTTTGGAGATGTATACAGAATAATGCGGGGTTAATCAAACGTGTGAATGAAACAAAACACAACTCCAAGTCTGTTTTTGGAGATGTAATAGCAGTGGCGGCTGGTCATTAGAGGGCACAAGTGCACCGCCATGCCTAACTTGGCTTAGATTAAAAAAAATATGAAGTTGTTATTTTGTATTAGGCTATATGTTTAATATTTTGTTTAAGATTCAACGTGTATCTGCATAGACATATTTTTATCATGTTAAACGTGCTCATATCACTTTATTTGATTCATGTGTTTGCAAAGTCAGAGCAACTTAATGGAGGTCTATGGGAGAGCCTGAAGTTTCGAGAAAATTTGACATCATTACGTTGCTTCTGGTCATTACTTCACATTGCAGCCCTGAAATAAGTCTGGGGTGAGGGCGACCTGAAATCAAGTGATTGGTCTTCATTAACATGATCACACACCTGGGTGTGAGAGGTGGATCAGGTTGTGCTGCTGCTTAAGATTTGCGATTGGTTGTGTGTTGTGCTCTCATATAATTAATATAATAGATATAATTAATAGTTAATAGATATAATTCAGCCAATAGTGGCCAAAATGACTGTCTGTTTCTGGCGTCCGTTATAATACTATATAACCTATATATAATACATATATTTATAATATATATTTATAATTTTGGCCTAGGTGCCCCCCCCCAAAAAAATTACACCACCAGCCACCACTGGGGAACAGCATTATAACATGGCTAAATGCTCATAAGATTAGATTTTTCCCAATACAGTACCTTTAATCATCAATAATTTTATTGTAAGGAGTGGGCGGATGTCACTACAGCTAGTATCAGTGAGTGGCTATGAGTCACCTCAGAAAACACCTTAGCTAAAGTGGAAGTGATATGCTCAGAACTTATAGCAGCATTTACTTTTCTTGTCAGAACAAAAGTAAACACTTTAAACTAATGAAACTACAATTTGTTTTTCTCAAACAAGACTCCTTTATTCCATCTCTTCTGTACGTTTTGTACATTCAAGAGGTGAGATAAAGGAGGCTTGTTTAAGAAAATTAACTCTTAAACAACTCTCCTTAATCCTACCTCTTAGTAGACGTATACTAAGTTAAACTATTAACTTTTCACTGCTACTTCTGCAATGTTCTGTCCATATTTGTATTATATTAACTATTTTAGCCTTTACTTATTTTCTATGGAAGCCTGCTATCATATATTTATTTTGTACATTGTTATTATTACTTTGTGACATGATTCCACAACATCTCGAACGCAAAATAGGCTACTATGAAAATGTGCTCAATATTCCGACTATTCTAATTCTTAACATGAAACCAAGTAAATGTAATTTTAGTTATAGAGTATGCAAAATTGACTCTTGTGAGCTTTAAGCCATGTTAGAATATTTTTACCTCCTCAAGCACATACACTGAAATTGATAAAGAATTTTGATGTCCTTGTGATGTCATGAAGTTGTAGTTTTCAAGTTAACAGCTATCTTTTACCTTTAGATCAGTAGAAATTGGTGATTCGAGGTCTGAAATTATCCAAATGACTTTAGTAAAGGTCCATGGAGTTTAAAAATAAAGTGGAGCACTTTCTGTATTACCTAAAGACATCATAAGGAGGAACGGAGTGTTTTCTGTGTAAGAGATTTTAGTGTAATACATGTGTGAATGAAACAAACCACAACTCCAGGTATGTTTGTGATGAGGAAACAACATTATAACGTAGATCAGAATTTTAAATATTTTCTGGTGCAGGTGTTGACCTGGTGAAAGGCCCGTTGTTACATGTAGGCCTGTTATCTGACCCTCAGCCTATCAGCAGCTAATGCCAGGGTAGTAACAGAGTGCTCTTTGTAGCACCAACAGATATTATTAAGTGATCCATATGGCTTCGATTTTCTAGGTACTGTTGGCCATAAACTAACCAAACCAAATCTGACGAGTGAACGGGCCCATGATAATAGATACGAAAGACGATACTAAAGGTCGAATGCAAATTTAGATGCAGATCAGTAAGTAATTTCAAGGTTATGACTTATATTTTTTTAGATTTCTATACAAAGTCGACTATAAACGCGCGCGTAATTCTCAACACTGTGCAGCGGAAGCAGAGGACCCACCCAGTTTAGTGAAAACAACTTACCTGACGCCATTAACGCGCCCAGAAGTATCGTCCACCACATTTTGAATCCCATTTGTGCGAGTAAAAACTTACAATGAACTAAAATACACTAAATACTCAACGCAACAGAGCAAAACACATGATAAAAATAAACAACTTTAGCTCTCAGCCGGGTAGAGAACGCTCCATTTTGTTCGCGACACACGATACTAGCTTGGGCACGGGGGAGTACCTGCGCAGCGTACGTCACACACGCAGCAGACAGGTGAGACGACAGAAACCCATTGAGAACCGGGGGTGGGGCACTTCGTTTTAAGATGTTATTTAGAGATAAAGGTGGATTCTTCACGCAATATAAACATATAAGCGCCGGAAAACAGGATTATAAAGCTACTTTGTTATTTTGGACCATTTCTTTACAGGTACAATACGTGGTCATGTTAGGTTCATAGCCATGCGCCCCTGCTATTGGTACGGACCAGTCCCTTATCTCTCCATGTTCATTTTTTTCTAGTTAATATTCAACAGTTTGAGCAGTGGTTTAGCGCTTTTATATGTAGGTCAACTGAGAGCGATAGAAATGTTCACTGAGACTTGACTTGATAAAATGGACTAAGACTTGGGACTCGCCTTGGACTTGAAGGTCAGTGACTTGGGACTTGACTCGGACTTGAGGCCTGTGACTTGAGAAGACTTGAGAAGCACTTTTAAATATGAATTATTTCTATTCTGACCATGATGATTCACACTAAGGTCTTGTCAAGACGTTTAAAAAGGAAAAAATAACAAAATTAATTTCTACAATTCTTATATACTCTATAAATATTCACATATAAATATACTATGATTTTATTTAAGTACAATTTATCTTAAAAGTCATATGAATTGCAAAAATTTAAATTATACTTGGTACTTTGGTTTAAGGACTTGAAATGACTTGAAGCTCAAAGCAGACGGCTTGGACTCGACTTGGACTCATGCACCAGTGACTCAAGACTCGACTTGGGCTGTATTTGACTTGGGACTTGACTCGGACTTGAGGCCAGAGACTTGAGACTTACTTCAGACATGCAAAACAAAGCCTTGGTCCCAACTCTGTTAATAATAAATAGACATCACCATTCCCTTTTTTCTTGAGATGGGTGTAAATAGGAGAATCGTGTCCATTGAACTATTAACACCCAGGGTGCAAATAGACACTCCGTAATAAATTATAATAATAATTAGCAAAATATCATGTTTTTCTAGGTATTTTTGAGCTATAAAACCACCAGTAATTGAATAAATGTAAAGAGCTCTGCCCTTCAAAGACAGAACGCCGTAACATCATGTTCATCACAAATGTCAAAAATGTTAATGTCATTTGGGGGGTATTTGAGACCTCCTTTATCATGTGAATGAATACCGTGAGAAATATTGTGCTCAAAATTGACCTTTGACCCTTATTTGGAAGTTACTGTATTCTGCCTTTGTATCATGTGCCAAAAATAAGGAGTCGTACAAAGGCGAAAGGCAGTAACAGTGTATGTTTTGTTTGTGATTTAATATATATTATTTTAAAATCCATCCTCTCGCCCCCTTTATTTTGTTGCGGCCTGAGCACAGGGTCTTAACATATCAAATAAATATACCTTTGTACTTGAATTATCTTTAATGTAAAAGTATTTTGTGTATTTATTCATACTGTACATACTATACTGCAAAGTCACTTGTGTGTCAAACTGTTTAACTATGTAAGTGTCACCACACGATCCTGATCAGCACTAAATAGGAAATTCAAAGCTCTTCTGTATCATTTCAGACAAACTCCATGATGACTCGACCTTGGTGACTTGTTCTTATGGATGGCAGTCAAAGTGAAAATCAAGAAAATAATGATCATGTCAGTTTCTGCCTTTTGCCTTTGTATAACCCCTTGTTTTTGGCATGATACAAAGGCAGAGTACAGGAACTGCCAAATAAGGGTCAAAGGTCAATTTTGAGTGCAATATTTTTCACATACGATTAGTTCTTCATTATAGAGACTAGTTGTCAAATTTTGGGAGCCCTCCCTATTATATTTTTGTCTGGACCAAACAGAAACTTTGAAGTAATTTTTTATCAGTTTTACACTGGTGAGTTAAGGCCTTTTGCCTTTTGTAGGGCACAGCTGTTTAATGTCATACTATGGAACATTCCAGGCAGAGCACTGACATATTCATAGAACCAAGCAGGTGGCAAAATGTTACACAGTGCACGGATGGAAATTAGCTATAATCTAGTGTGTTTACATTCATGTTTTGTTCCAAAACTAGTTTGTTTTACTGTGCAGCCTTGGTCCTCCAGCACCTTTGAGTTGCTCATGTATAAATTCAGGCTTCCTTTTGCAAATGTATTACTGTGAAGAGGTAAATCATCTTTAGTAATCCTGATATTTAAGTGTCCTTTTGTCATTTTTTTGCCTTTATTTACATTTGTAATTATATTTTGCTTGTATTTAAGATGATTATTATGAAGATCTGCAGGGAGAAGCTAACTATCCGTTGTCTTACCTCTGTAGTTTGGGCTGAACCATAGACTGGAATGAGTCTAGGTGTTATTATTGATGAAAAACTTAATTGGGAAGAACACATACAATATATTAATACTAAAATAAAAAATAAAAAAACACAGCAACATTAGGTCTACATACACTTTATTGTTCTTTGGTTGCACCATATTTGACTTACTGTGCTGAGATCTGGGGTAATAATTATAAAACAATATTGGAACCACTATTGATATTACAGAAAAGAGCACTATGAATAATTCATAACGTTGGGATTTATGACCACACCAACCAGCTATTTATCACTTAAAAAATAAAAATAAAAAATTGAGAATCTGATAAGCTTAGTAATACTAAGCTTTAATCATTATAAGCATTGCTTCTCCCCACTTCTATTCGGAATGATTGATTTTTATTTATTAATCATTTATCATTTATGGAAACATCTGAATAAACTTATCTTCATAGAGTAATAGTAGTTATAGTGCTAGCTGTGTTTTTCTGTTGTGGACCAGATTAAAGGGAGGGTGCCTCCAAAAGTTTTCGCTGTTTCCCATGGCACCTTAACACAGACGTCCACTGGTCACACTGACAAACTACTAATCCACTTGAGAAATTACAAGGGCAAAGTAGCTAGCACATCACAATATAAAAGAGAAAAAAATGTATAGAGCCATTGTCATATTTAACATGTAACCCAGAGTGTCACATACACACACATTACAACGAGCAGATGAGCAGATGACTGAGCAGACGAAGCAGTTGGTGAAGCTCGATCCGAGGAGCCGTCTGCACCAGGAGTTGAGAAGAGAGGAGGAACACAGAAAGAAACAGCGGTTAGGCTACGGATTCTTCTGCATGTTTTTTGTTTGTTTTTCTCAAGAGCATTCCTAAACACAGTAGATACTTACATGGACCTTTTATCATTGTTTCCAGCAGGTCACAAGCTGTCAAAACAGATATTGTCTTTATAACTATGACATATAACTGATAGGACATAATTCATCTACAATGATACTTACAGATTTCAGACACATCTGGCAAATGTTGTTGGTCCTCCACATCAATTTTTGTAACACTGAAGCAGCTGATGAAGTGTTCAGATCCATTATGGCACATCACACAGGCTCTTTTAGTATGAGTCAGGAGGTCCTCAGAGCAGGATGGGAGTGGCTGATTTGTATCTCGACTGAACACAATGTCGTCTTGGAAATGGTCAAAGATTGTTTTCACATGTGGGCATCTCGTTTCATTTGTGCACTTGAAGCATTTAACTGGTGTAACACAAAGCAAGTCTGTCACTGAAGAGATAGTTACAGCTACCAACTTCTTGCTAACATACAGGCAACTAATATAAAAATAGAACAAATATTGCATTTACATCCTGCAGTCAAACTTACCTCCATTTTCTGAAGCCTTTGAGCCAGCCACAAGCACAAATGTGACCACCACAGCAAGGAGGCTATAATGACCTAAATACACACACACACACATTATAAATAAGGCAAAATGAATGACTAGTCTTAATTTCAACTTGTATCACAGACTGCAGTTGTTTTGGGTGGTATAATGTTAAGCATGTTAGGCCTATGCATTGGGTTTCTGTTGTTTTATTAAGATCCAGCTGCTAGTCTTCCTGGGGTCCTCTCAAAAATAATCATTACACACTAAAATTATTTACATTTAGAATAACATTTTGCAGTAACAGGGGCAATGGCTGCTTTTATTGTCAAAGAAAATGAAAATGAGAGTGAGTCTAGCTTTAAAACATTTTGTATCATCTGCAGTACACTGTAAAATTGTATTTGGTTAGTTTACTTTACTCACAGCTACGAATTTGTGGATCTTAGTGATTGTGATAAAGTAACAGTCACTTTCAGGGCAAAAATAAAACACATAACTTGTCAGTTAGACTAAGATCAACCTGAATGAGACAAGTAACCTCAACAGTGGCATATTTATTGCAAAGAGGCTGCGTCATCAGCTGCATACAGGATGCAGACAGCAAAATACCCAAAAGACTCTGCAGACATGTTAGCACTTGCCCGGATTTGTTCTAATGTCAGGGCAACCACATCTGACACGTGTTGGTATTTTTTTTTAGCTCTAAATGTGAGGGCCTTGGTTGAGATGACTTGGAATGACCAAGCTATATTATTTTATTGTTACACATGTTACGATGTGTTTTGGACTTAACATGAATAAACTGCTACGTTTTTTTCAAAGACTAAATATTCCAATCCTTGTGTCCCTGATGCAGATCTAAATTATATTATTGTAGAATAGAACTTGGTTTTATTCTAACTTGTGTATATAAGTAACATTTACTTGCTCAATTCAAAACATTCAGTTTCCATAGTTTTACCAAATAAGATGACTCCTAAAGTAAAGGTCACTAACTACATATTTCAGATTTGAGGAACTGACTGTTCTGTGAATGGAAACTAAAGTACGTGTAACTTGTTGTGTCTAGTTAAGGAAAAAGTTTTTTCTTTACAGTGTAATGGCATTGTTATTGTCTTCTTTAGTTTACATTTAACTTAATTTGTGCATGCAGAGCAGGGGGAGCTGATTCCAGTGAAATATGACTCTATAGCAGGGGAGGGGAATGATTTTTTTCTATGGGGCGACATGACAAACAGAAAATATTGTGGAGGGCCAGGCCAAAATGCTTAACTCAATTCTCCATAATATTA